AAAAAAAAAAAAAAACAGTAGAACAGATCAATGAATCTAAGAGCTGTTTTGAAAGAACAAACAAAATTGATAAACTCCTAGCCAGACTTCTCAAAAGAAAAGAGAGAGGACCCAAATAAATAAAATCACAAATGAAAGAGGAGAGATCACAACCAACACCACAGAAATACAAACAATTATTAGTGAATACTATGAAAAATTATATGCCAACAAACTGGACAATCTGGAAGAAATGGACAAATTCCTAGATACCCACACACTCCCAAAACTCAAATGGGAAGAAACAGAAAATTTGAACAGACCCATAACCAGTGAAGAAATTGAAATGGTTATCAAAAACCTCCCAACAAGTAAGAGTCCTGGTCTAGATGGCTTCCAAGGGGAATTCTACCAGACATTTAAAACAGAGTTAATACCTATTCTGCTCATGCTGTTCCAAAAAATAGAAATGGAAGGAAAGCTTCTGGACTCATTCTATGAAGCCAGCATTACCTTGATTCCCAAACCAGACAAAGACCCCACTAAAAAGGAGAATTACAGGCTAACTTCCCTGAAGAACACAGATGCAAAAATTCTCAACAAGATACTAGCAAATCGAATTCAACAGTATATTAAAAGAATTATTCACCATGATCAAGTGAGATTCATTCCTGGGCTACATGCCTGGTTCAATACTCACAAATCAATGTGATTCATCACATTAACAGAAGAAAGGATAAGAACCACATGACCCTGTCAACAGATGCAGAAAAAGCATTTGACAAAATACAGCATACTTTCTTAATAAAAACTCTCAAGTAAGTTGGGATAGAAGGAACGTACTTTAACATCATAAAAGCCGTATATGAAAGGCCCACAGCTAATGTCATCCTCAATGGGAAAAACTGATAGCTTTTCCCCTGAGATCAGGAACACGACAGGGATGTCCACCCTCACCACTGCTATTTAACATAATCTTGGAAGTCCTAGGGTCAGCAATCAGACAACAAAATGAAATAAAAGGCATCCAAATTGACAAAGAAGAAGTCAAACTTTCACTTTCCACAGATGACATGATACTCTACATGGAAAACCCGAAAGACTCCACCAAAAAACTGCTAGAACTGAAACATGAGTTCGGCAAAGTCACAGGATATAAAATGAATGTACAGAAACCAGTGCATTTGCATACATCAATAACAAAGCAACAGAAAGAGATATCAAGGAATCGATCCCATTTACAACTGCACTAAGAACCATAAAATATTTAGGAATAAACCTAACCAAAGAGGTAAAAGATCTGTACACTGAAAGCTATAGAAAGCTTATGAAAGAAATTGAAGAAGACAAAAAGAAATGGAAAAATATTCCATGCTCATGGATTGGAAGAACAAATATTGTTAAAATGTCGATACTACCCAAAGCAATCTACACATTCAATGCAATCCCAATCAAAATAGCACCAGCATTCTTCTCAGAGCTAGAACAAACAATCCTAAAATTTGTATGGAACCACAAAAGATCCCAAATAGCCAAAGTAATGTCGAAAAAGAAAACCAAAGCTGGAGCCATCACAATCCCAGACTTTAGCCTGTACTACAAAGCTGTTATCATCAAGACAGTACGGTATTGTCACAAAAACAGACACATAGACCAATGCAATAGAATAAAGAACCCAGAATTGGCCAACTAATCTTCGAGAAAGCAGGAAAGAGTATCCAATGGAAAAAAGAGTCTCTTTAGCAACTGGTGCTGGGAGAACTGGACAGCAACATGCAGAAGAATGAAACTGAACCACTTTCTTACATCATACATAAAAATAAATTCAAAATGGATGACAGGCCTAAATGTGAGACAGGAAACCATCAAAATCCCACAGGAGAAAAAAGGCAGCAACCTCTTTGACCTCGGCCACAGCAACTTCTTACTTAACATGTCTCCAAAGGCAAGGGAAATAAAAGCAAAAATGAACTATTGGGACCTCACCCAGATGAAAAACCTTCTGCACTGAAAAGGAAACAATCAACAAAACTAAAAAGGAACTGACAGAAAGGGAGAAGATATTTGTAAATGACATATCAGATAAAGGGTTAGTATCCAAAATCTATAAAGAAATTACCAAACTCAACACCCGAAAAACAAATAATCCAGTGAAGAAATAGGCAGAAGACATGAATAGATACTTTTCCAAAGAAGACATCCAGATGACAAACAGACACATGAAAAGATGCTCAACATCACTCATCATCAGGAAAATACAAATCATAACCACACTGAGATACCACCTCACACCAGTCAGAGTGGCTAAAATTAACTCAGGAAACAACAGATGTTAGTGAGGATGTGGAGAAAGGGGAACCCTCTTGTACTGTTGGTGGGAATGCAAACTGGTGCCCCACTGTGGAAAACAGTGTGGAGATTCTTCAAAAA